ATTTTTTGGTTGCAGCCGTCATTGTTGTTTGGCGGGCTCGGGCTTCGAACCCGCTACCTTAGGTGTACGTGGCTGGCGCCTTAGCCGCTTGAGCCACAGGCGCCAAGCCCAAATTAATACTTTATTGGGACACACACACACACACACACAAACGTGCACATAGACATGTGATCATCAAGCAAGTAAACTCAGACGCCTGAAGAGGTGGGAGGATGTCAGTGAAGCTGAAGAGGGACCCTGATCTGGACACCTTCTATCCCTTTGCATTTCTCCACATGTGAGCCCTAAACATAAACAGCTCTGGGGGTCCTCTAGTCTTGGGTTTCTGTTTTTTTATTTGTTTATTTTACAGCCACCAGAAGAAGAGAATGTCTTCGGTTTTTTTTTGGTTTTTTTTTTACGATTCCCAAAGACATTTATTCTCAGACACCTCCCCTGCTTGGGGAAGACAAATGTTCTAAGAGAAAAGTGCAGCTCCGTTTGCCACGGAGTGCTCTTAGTCCTTTAGTTCAACCCTCCTTCCTAGGTCCCCCAGACCTCCAGGGGCCCAATTGCCATTCTTCCCCACCCCCCACACCAACCCAGCCCAGGTGCCGCAGCACTGGCCACCAGGTGTACACATCAACCTGAATCCCGGGCCACCTCTGCCTTCTCATACATCCTCTTACCTATTGATCTGTTATTGATTTGCTCATTCCGCCAAGGTACCTCCTCTGGTCCCCGCCCTGCGGGGTGTCTCACTCTGCCCCCTACTCCCAGCCGGCTCCTGGCTCCCCGGACGCAGACCCTTAGCGCCCGTGTCGAGGGCGCAGGCGGCCCGGTGGGCCAGGGGCCGGGGTCTGCTACAGGCTGGGCAGGCGACCTTGGCTCGGACCCCGGAAGCTGTCTTCGGTTTTTAAAAGTAAGTTCCAAAGCTACAGAAATGGTTCATTTTTGCCAAGGTAAAATAAAATGGAACTCCAAACGAAAGATGAGATTAAAATATTTTCCTGGCAGCTACAGATGACCGGGTTCATTTGTTTAAATAGGAGGTAGCTCAAGTATTGAAAAAAAGCTTTGGATTTCATACCAAAGATTCCATTTGATATATACAAAATAAACAAAAAAAAAAAGAGAGAAATTAGCACTCTGTTGACACTAATTGATTCAGGACAATGGGCAGTTAAACCATTGGATGAAGGAGAGAAAGAAATTACAATGTAAAAAGGCAACTCTGCAATGCAGAGATATGTCAATTACCACCTTAATTGAGTGATGGATGGGAGTTTTCATCACCAATAACAGAACAAACTGACTTCATTGGCTCTAAATATGGTACCATGCAAAATTCCTGTGTAGTATTTTTAGCCAAAATATTTGGCCTGAATCTCATCTTAAAGAAATAATTAGATACATTTAGATTATAGGGACACTTTATAAAACACTGGCTTGGACTCTTCAAAATTGTCTAAATCATAAAACAATAAAAATGTTACTGGTACACTTGCGGAAATATAAGTATGGAGCATATTTTAGATAATATTAGTGTGTCAACATTAAGTACATTAGGACACAAATGGCACTGTTGGTGAAGTGAGGTGATGCCAGTGCTCTTGATGCTTTCCTCCATCTTTTCCATAGGTTTGGAAATGTCAAGGTAAAAACTGAGAGAAGGAAAAGAAAGATTTAGATTTGTTAACTACATAAAATGAAAGGCCTAAGTTTTACTAAGGCCTGAGACCATGCAGGCTCAATATCGCTGAGGATATTGGTAAAGATGGGTCACAGGAAATGTCAGGCAGAGAACTGCACTAAACCTTCAGCACCAAGCAGAGCCTGTCTTCTAGAACAGGAGAGGTGTGGGGGAAGTGTTAGGTTATACTGTGAAGGTGCACCACACATATAGACTTGATGACAAGTATTTTTAAATATACTTTTGTGTCTTTCTAAATAGTCCAGTTTCTTTACTGGATTTAAAATTGTTACCTTGTTCATCCATAATGGTTTTTACCAGCCATCTGACTTCAACTTTGAGTGAACTCTCTCTTCTTGCAATGCCTTGAAGTTTAAAGAGAATAAAGTTCAATTTTTATCATCCTTGACTGGGAATTGTCAAATTTAAAGCTTTCCAATCTGCAAGATGTTTGGACCTAAATACAGATTTGTGCATCAGCTTCTACTTACCTAATTCAGACTTTATCTGTATTTTGTATATCTGACCTTCAAATGTATTTTGAAATCATCTGGAATTTATCAGACTTTTCCTTTTTTTTGAAGCAAAACACTTAACTGTGTCACTGGCAAACTTGTGCAGCGAGCTGTCTGACTTGTCTATGAAGGGTGCCCTTCCAGGCTACTGTGGGGACGGTCTGTCATGTGGAAAGCTGCTCCTATATTGTTTTATCCTGAAGCCAGAGGAGCCAGAGATAGAACTGTGATTATGACAGTGGTGTGACTGATTGGTTCTTTGGCCACCACGGAGGAAGAATCTAAGAAAGCAGGAAGAGAGAAACAGTGGGGGTATCTGGGAAGAGAGGTGGAGAAATGATGGAGAGGAAAGAAGGGCAAGGAGAGAGGAGTCAGAAGACAGAGGAAAACACTCCTGAGGCCAAAAACAGCTTCTTGGCTTCACTCATAGATCCAAAGCCTGGCTCTGGATCGAGTTGATACGGGGGACAGGGGACGATGGAAGCCTTGGGCTGTTCGTGTACATTTAACAAAAAATGTTTGGGGTGGGGGGGGGAGAAGGGAAATAAGTAGAGGAAAAGGGCAAAAAAGCAGAATGAGAACAGAGAACCTCTCAGTATCCTGAAACATCCCCTTCACATGCTTGTTTTAAAAAATTGCTTTTAGGGAGAAATTCCACGTATTCAAGTGTTGCGACCAGTTGGGCTCCTATGGCCCTGGTCTCTGTTAGCACAGGAAGGAACCAGGCAAGAAGCCGATTAGAAGTACAAGCTTGTGGAAGGCAGGCTAGCCCTTACTTTCCGGGTAGCCCCAGGCAACCGCTGCACCAGCCTTTTATTGAGCCAGAACAACACAGGTGAGGGGAGAAATTAACAATGACTACGTGCTGAGGGCAAGGGCTCCTCCCACAAGGAACTCCTGTGGAGGAATGGCCCGAGGTCCACGCCTCAGCTGCAGATCATCTTGCTCAGACGTTGGCGTCTCCTACATTTCCCCCCTCTAGTGTATTAAAGACATTTCTGAAGAGGCAAGGGAGAAGGTCTGTTGTTTCTGCCGCTCTCCTCACCAAGAAGCTTTCTGTTGAGTAAAAGAAACAAAAGGGTACATAAGCATAACAAAAATACAGCATCGGAGCTAATTCGGACATAAAGGAAACTCAAATTAGTCAAACTAGGCATGGGGGAAAACTTGTCCCCTATGTGCTAATCACCATTTAACTATGTGCTATGGGCTGACCCATAGGGCTCATGACGCTTCCATGGGAAGTATTAAGCATCACCCAAAGCTTAAGTAGAGAAAGGGCTGCAAACTCAGACCCTTTCCAAAAAGCAGTGTATAACTTTAAGAAAGATCAGGTGCCCAGCTGAAATAGAAACGAACCCAACAAGTGAAATTCTTTTACTTTGCCAATACCATAATAACCTTTACCTTAAAGCCTGTTGTTCCAGGTCTTTGTTGTCCTAATTGTCCAAGATTTAGACGATGCCTCCTAAGCTTGCCTGGGGCTTAATATACAGCCCCAAATAACGAAATCCTGTATCAATCCTCCCAATCTGCATAAAAGCTCCTGCTGCCTCTTCAGGGAAAAGGGGCGCTGACCGCTCCTAACTGCTTCCTGCTGAGACTGGGCAGCGACATGGGAGAGGCAGCTCGAGTTTCCGCAGAGGAGATTGATCCAGGATTTCTCTACTATGAAATCACCTAAATTAAGGTCCTGTAGAAGAAAGGTTAGTGAAAACAAACTTGTTTAAGGTGCTGGTAAAGTTTCCTGCTCGTGTCGAGGCTTAATCCAGCGGGCTGGTAGCTACTGCTTTTCTTGATGTTCTGTAATAATATGGGCAAAGCCTCGACCCCATTGCAGCACGTAACCTGGCTTCCACTCTGTCATATCAGGTTTTTTATAAAAGATAGGTTGTTGTACTCGAGAGGCTGGTGCATGAATGAGAGATGTCCAATGGCGTTCTGCAGCTGTCTTTTCATCATTGCTGAGATTGAGAAAATTAAAAGTGAAAAGAGCTTTAGTGAGCAGAAACCTAGGACTATTATTTAAGGGGAGGAAATGAACTGACCCCTTCTTTTAAAGCAGTAGCCAGTAAATTAGCCTTATAGGATTCCATTCCTATGTCAGCACATGCCTGTATATACTCCTCTAAGGGAGTGTTTTGTGCTCTCAAAGGTTGCAGGGCCTTTTGACACTCCGAATTGGAATTTTCAAATGCTAAAGTTTAGAAAAGCATGTCTCTCAGCTCCGGCTGGGCAACAGCCTTATCGACTGCAGTTTTTAATCGGGCTTGAAAGTCAGTATAAGGTTCATTTCCCGACTGCATCATTTTAATGAAAGATTTAGAGACATCTCCAGGAGCCTGAACCTTTTCCCAGGCCCTAAGACAACACAGTCTTGTCTGGACTATGGCTAGATCATTGTATTGAAGCTGACTGGGAATCCCCAGCCACTGCCCAGACCTAGTGAGCTGTTCAGATGTTATTGGGATGCCTCTCTGTTGGTTTTGGTGACTCATTAGGTCAGCCTCTTCCTTCCACCAGGTTTTAAACTGTAAATACTGTCCAGATTCAAGAACAGTTCTGGCTATCATATCCCAGTCATAGGGAATGAGCCACTGTTCCTGTGCAAGCCCCTGTAACAGACCTCTGGAAAATGGGGACTGCATACCATACTGTGCTGCGGCCTGTTTCAAATCTTTAAGAACTGAAAAGGTGATCATATGGTGGTCAAAACGCTGGCCCCCTTGAGGGTGTTGCGGATCAGGAGGAATATCAGTGACCGTAACTAGAAAAAGCCTCAAAGTGTTTTCCCATTCAAAGTCACCAGTATTGCGCCCTTCTCATACAGCCTGCATAACAGAAGTTACAGGGGGTTCGTTTACATAGGGAGGTGCTGAGGGCAAAACAGGGTGCTCTGAGTTAGCATTTCTGACAGTGAGACTATCTGATCTCCCAATCGTTTAATTTGTTCAGCCATAGTGGTCATAGCGGTGATTACTTGCTCATTCATATCATATGCTCTCACTTCCCAATTTTTCTTAGGTCCAGCTTCCCACTGAACCTCACTATCCTTGCTTTCAGATACCGATTAAACATCACTTTCCTCCTCAGTTTCTACTTCCCGCAACTTCCCAAACAGAAAGTTACCCATGACTTTGCTTAGTTTATCAGACACTTATTCTGAGTGTGGTTTCTTTCTTTTTTTTTTTTTTTTTGAGACAGAGCCTCAAGCTATCCCCCTGGGTAGAGTGCTGTGACATCACAGGTCACAGCAACCTCCAACTCCTGGGCTCAAGCGAGTCTCCTGCCTCAGCCTCCCAAGTAGCTGGGACCACAGGCGCCCGCCACAATGCCTGGCCATTTTTTGGTTGCAGCCATCATTGTTGTTTGGCGGGCCCAGGCTGGGGATTCGAACCCACCACCTTAGGTGTATGTGGCTGGCGCCCTAGCCGCTTGAGCCACAGGTGCAGAGCCTGAGTGCGATTTCTTAATTTCTAAATTGGCCAAAGGTCCCACTTTCCCTGAGCAGCGTTTCCCTTTGGACTTCCTTTTACCTCCTTTTAAAATTGGCCAAAGGTCCCACTTTCCCTGGGTGTGTTTCCCTTTGGACTTCCTTCCACTGTCTACCAAAGGCCTCACCTACATCCGGGTGTTGAACCCTTTGGTCTGCATCCCTGCTGTCCTGTTGTGTCCTGCTATATCCTGCCCACTAAGTCAAAATGTCGCGACCCA